AGTTGGGCGTCCCCCCAGCCTCTCTCTGGACGTGCCCCTGGGGCTGCCTCTGACTAGAGGCTGCCAGGCCAAGTTCTGTGCTCAGACATGAAGCTCTTTTTTCTCGGACTCCGCTGAGACTGCCGTGCCCAGTTCCGCGAGATAGGCTAAGCTAACCGCTGCTGGCGGGGCTGCCTCTTCCCAAATCCTGTAAATGCTTTGGGATCAGTAATTTCACGTGCCTGAACGTCCTGATGCTGGAGCAAAAGACGTGAGACACGTCCCAGAGTGCACATTCCTTAGTAGGCCTTGGGAAGCCGATCAGAGGTACATGATGGCCTATCTCAGATGGGGGTACGTGACACTGGACAGGGGCGCACAGCCTGGCAGGAGTTAAAAGCACTGTCCTAGGGCATCCCAGTCGCTTGCTTGTAAATGGTTTTGTCCTGATTTGACAGGAAGAACGAGTTATTACAAGGGATTTATGCAATGGGCTTCAACAGGCCGTCCAAGATCCAGGAGACAGCCCTTCCTATGATGCTGGCTGACCCGTGAGTACTTGCAAAACAAGGTGTAAACGTGCCATTTGTATTTGCTCCCTATGCTCCTGTCTTTGCCCTTCTGGTCACAGGCGTAGCTTGGCCGCTGGGGGGAGGCAGTGCTTGGGCCGGCTCTGCATGGCGGGACCCAAAGAGGGAGCATTGCTTCTGCCCTCCTCCCCTCCATAGCCCACCCAGCCTGTTTGGGGTGAGGGCGGGGTAGGGGGCAACCGAACATCATACTCGGGGCAGCGCCCCAGGGCTGAGGAGCCGCGGGTGCAGGGGAGAGGCAGCCGAGGGGTAGCTCAGGGTGCTGCTGGGAGGCCCCTCTGCGGTCGCTCTTCAGAGGAGTTTTCTAGGCCCGGAGCTGGGCCCCCTGCCCAGGCACTCTTACTGACTGAGAGCAGCCAGAGGGGCTGGGAGCTGCGGAGGGGGGAGCTCCCATGGCACCAGCCAGAGCAGCAGCAACTGCCCTGCAGGGCCAGGCTCCCATTTCCCATCTCCGACCTGACCAGGAGGGGGGCTGCTTACTCTGGTTCAGGCACTGGAGTTGGGGGGGGGGGCAGACCCTCCGGTGTTCTTCCCAGACTGTCTGTGCTCCTGGTTCTGCACCTCCCTGGCTAATCATAGCCCAGTGTCCAGGCTGCTTCCTCGACTCCTTGTGTCCCACAAGGTTCCCTTCCGTTTCCCCATGGCAGCGTGGGGAGAAGCAGGGGACGCACATTTACAACGCAGTCAGTGGTTAGCAGTTACAAAGTCTGTGTGTAACCGAGTGAATTCTTATTGTTCGCAGTCCCCAAAACCTGATTGCGCAGAGCCAGTCAGGGACAGGAAAGACGGCAGCTTTTGTCTTGGCCATGCTGAGCAGAGTCAATGGTGCTGAGAAGTCCCCCCAGGTAATTCCGGCAGAAGGCTAAGGTGATCTGGAAGGAATCGTAATCTATTGTCTGTCCTAAACTCAGAGGGTACGTCTAGACGACAGGCTTTTGTCGACAGAAGTTTTGTCAACAGATACTGTCGACAAAGCTTCTGTCGACAAACAGCGTCTAGACTACATTCAGTTTGCTTTGTCGACAAAACCCTGTAGTCTAGACACAACCCTAGATGCAATAACACCTTCTGTCGACAGAACTCTGTCGACAAAAGGCGTTATGCCTCGTAAAATGAGGTTTACCAGCGTCGACAAAACTGCTGAGTTCTGTCAACGTTATGTCGACAGAACTCAGCGGTAGTGTAGAC